CGGCATATTGTTATTATTTTATTATTATATTCACTGTTTTAGCTGTATGTAATGACATTTTTTACTGTGTTTTCAAAGTTCATCATCGTTTCTCAACTTGTTCTGTGGAGTGGAGTGAGCTACAACAAGCAACCSTACCMWGCCTGGGCTGAAGTTGTTGGATGGCTGCTAGCGTTTATGTCTATGACGTTTATTCCTGTGTTTGCTGTTATTCAGTTCTACAAAGCTAAAGGAGCAACTTGGGCAGAGGTATAGTACCGTAAATTAGAAATGAGAATGTATGGATCGATGGGATTTTTAAAGTCGTGCGTAATACGTAGATAAAGTAAATATATTTATCTAAAACCTGACTGTCCGGTTTACGATTTGCGTTTCCTGTCTACTGTTCTTATAATTATTGTCATGATTTGGCTTTTTAAACGAAATTAATAACCTAGAAACGCAAAAATCATGTTAGATGATTGATGTGTGGTTGTTTTTGTCAGAAATGGAGGAATGCCCTTCTACCTAATGCAGAGGTTTTCCGTGAAGTAGAGGAACGTCAAGGAGTAAAACCTAAAGACGAAGTGATTCCTTAAACATTGCTTGGTAAGTTCACCACGACAGCCATCTCTTTGTAGCGACTATTTAAACAGTAAACGATAGCTTGAAGCGGTTAAATGGCGAAATAAACCACGCGGGATGGTTGGGAGAACACGAGAAAAGATTTGGCGAGTGATTTACCTTTTCGCGTCCGCCATTTATACTCAAAAGTCTTTCTAGACAGTAGACTGGTTTACCGGCGAAATAAACCGTAGCTTTTCTCATGAAATCCGCCAATCAGCGCGCGTGTTAGAATTTAGCTACAATATAAATTTTYCTATAGTTCCCCATCCAAACGCCTCCTTGCACAACACAACTCAGGTAAACTCTCACTATTCGGTATATTGCTGATGTGACGTTATTTTCTCTAGATTTGAAATGATAAAAGAACAATAGACGAGACGATAGACGATCATCCAACTWAACGACTAGCTGCAGTCTGCTATGATTCAATCAATCGAAGCGTTTATTTATTACAGATGAAGACGTTGAGCCCCCCGTAAACAGTCAACAGACTTGTGTTCAGGTGTACAACCAGGGGGATGCATTTTGATATTTTATTATTTTAATATTAGTAATTTATATTCCAGTATGGACGAATTGCCATGCGGATGTTCAGAGACAAATAAAGTATTAAGCCGTGGCAGAATGTTCAACTTTACTGTTGTGTACCTCTAAGCCTCGGTTSAATGCTTTGTTCGTCCTGGACCTGTGTATGGAATATTGCAGAATACTGTACAGCTATTTTTGAAAATTTTGTTCCGTTTAAACATACACTTTTTTAAACTTATGGCTCTCAAGAAGTTTTCACGGTGAGCCGTGAGAAATATTTGAATGAAACCTTAATAGCCGATTTGCATTATGGCGTTATTTACTACAACTACCAGAATGCTTTGCCAACTTTATTTTGTAATGCAATTAGTGCCAATTGCTTTATTAATCTCCAAGGGGATTAAAAATCTGAATGACAATAAAAATGCGCAAGGCTGTCTGGTAGTTGTAGTAAAGTTACGTCATAATGCAAATGGCCTATTAAACCGCCGGGGATCGTAATTACCATCATTCTCTAGGTGGACAMAATTTTCGAGAGAAGCTGTAAATAATGTCATAGATGGCTTTTATTTTATACACGACAATTTTTTGCGTATTTTGAGCTCCTTACCATTACTCGTAGTTTTTGTGCGTACATGTTCCTCTWATTGGGAACGTTTGTTTTTCGGGGAAAAACTGTGTCATGATTCTGTTTTAGGATAACTGTGATACTTCACATCGCGACAGTGTTTCCGGTAAGCGTTTCTCAGAACAGTTTTTATAGTACAGTTTTTATGGCACAATTAGTTTTATCCTCGAGCTTATGGAATCAAAACGAAGGCTCAAAATACCAACAATACCTTGTTGTACTACAGATTCTATGAACTAATAGTATCGTATGTTCGCCCRAGTAAATGGGTTGCCAAAGGAGCTTTTTTTATTCTCCTTGCAAGGAGGCTAGAGCATTTTAATAATGCTTTAATTTATTCACTTGTATCTATAGCAGCAAAAAACATAATTAAGAAATATGTGATCAAGAACACACAGGCCGAGATTTGCACTGTGATTTATTAATTTTATTTTGCCAATAGAAGTTAATTGCAACATGGAGGGCATTGTGCTATGGTAGTTGCTATGGTAGTTGCCCCTGGAAAAACAAATAGTCGCCCGAGAACTCAGACCTTGAACTTTTGAGGAATATTTAGATTTCAATGGCTATCACAGCATAATGCCCGAGATTTAAACTGCTCTATTGTTTTAATACTCAACAACAAAATGTTCTGAAGAGGCGTTCTCTATGCACCAATAGTGCCCCTCCTATACGGACACTATCGMGTCACGTGATTGTCTCTCGACCAATGAGAACGGAGGAAAATTTGTTGTTGAATTATCACTGCACTCACTGGTGAGTGGTGAATATATGTAACGATGATTTTTATTTTATTTGTGTTCTTTAAATCGAGCAAAAAGGAAGAATTAACCAGAGTTATTATATACATATGTAAAATTTGATCTTTTTTAATAGACGTGCATTCTGAAATTCTATGATAATGCAAATAACTATGAATAAAGTAGTATTTATTGTCAAAAATATTTGTTTTTTATACACTAGTCAATTGAAACCCCCGCCCCCGGGGWATACCGGGGAATTTAACGTTTGAGTTGTGTTAAAATGAAACATCTCCCCCGGTAGTCGGTGGCACATTCATTGTAAAATACCCTCTACTGGGAAAAAAAAAAGAACAGGTTTGAATACCTATTCTTCAAGGGTATTTTTTAAGATGKTCGACCTCYAGTTTCCAGCCTCATACATGCTCAAAGCGCGTCAAAGTCCCCGCTCTTTGCTCCGCTTCGAAATCCCGACCCCCTGGGCAATCTTACTGTTAAAAGCACGTTGAAAACGCGTCACGTCCCCTTTCAGTGCCCCGTTAGCCCCGGGGGTCGGGGGTTTCAATTGACTAGTGCATTACGTTTGTGTTCGTATAAATTGTGTTAAAACCTCAAAATACCATATCTGTAAGATTACCATATATAGTTATTATGCGAAAGGTGTTTTCGTGTAGTTGTTTTGTATATTCCTGTGAATGACCTTCTCTACGGACTTAATGCAGTAATGTAACATGCCTACGTAAATGTTCYTTGAATTTATGAGTACTTTCTGTATTCCCTTCGGTGTCAGATTTGATCACCTTTTGSGTCCCGACAACTTAATTCAATTACTTCTATCAGTACTGAGTGAATGTGCAGAAACTGTCATAATTGGCCACAATARCCGAAATCCGACCTCAAAAATATAGATAAACGACAAACCGTCGATTTTTGCTGTTATATTTAAAATCCTTTTTCTCAGAATTTTAGTCCGAGACGTTCCTATGCCAAAGACAAGGCAAGAGCGGACGACAGAATAAATATCGGGACAACAGCGGTCCAAACCTTCAACGTTTCTTTATTTATTTTTATAAGTGTAAGAATGTGTATTGCCATAAGATATAAATAAAACAAAGTGCAAATTTCACGTAAGACTTAATAGTATTTTCAAACATCATTCTACTTGTTATATTTACCAAATCCCTGTACCAATATTGCTGGACCACMTTACTTATAATAACATAATTCAAGATATTCATTATATTGAATAGCACCCTTATCTTTAATTTAAATTTCTTATTCTTCAATCGGTTATAAAAAATTTGTTTAATAAAATTTTATATGTATGATATCAATTCAATTTTATCGTATAAGCTACCAAATTGTTTGGCATTATTGGATTACTTTTTCTCCATTTAAAATTTAGTAAAATSTAAGTCCGCCATTTGCTTCACCCTGCAAAAGTAAGGGCGGTTCCAGCTGAAATATTTTTAAAAAGATTTAAAAGTGGGGAGGCTAAATGGTTTAAAGGGGGCCTAAATGTGCTTTATTTGTTATAAAATATTTAAGCGGTAAAATTTTAATGTTTAAAGGGGGTCTACAGCACCCCTTTGCTCCTCCCTGGATCCGCCCTTAAGGAGACTGTTATTGCTATCGCCCGAGTTTAGCTTTACGTAATACGTTTATCATGAGTATTTTGCATCATGACGGATATCACTATTAAAACTTGTCTAACATTACGACAATGTTAAAATATATCAATGAGCTCAATGATCGAGCAAAATTTGATGGGTAAGTCGTGATCCACACGCCTTTACAGCTGCAAGGAAAAAAAACAAACAATCAGACATAAGAAGAAAAGATCAACAGAATAGATAAGAGAAACATACAAAATRAAGAGTACTAAAGTGTAGTAAGTTAAAGTCAATGAAAAACCATCTAACATCTTTCCGGGGGAGGGGTGAAGCCGAGGGGGGGTGGGGGACTAAGTCTATTAAACTGATTACAAATCAAACTCTCAACCCTGAGGTGTCCTTAGACTCCTCTCCATTTCGTAACCGCATTGCCAATTCGATGAGGAAGTCGTCTTGGATTATGACGAAATTATGGGATGCCCCATAATTGAATCGTACCGAACATTAGTTTTTCTTACTTCAAAGTTAAAATCCCAAATGTATGACGGACTTTGATATTTTAGACTAATCTAATGGCAAATAATATAGATTTGAATCTAGCGATAGTTGCACCATTGTGTTATCTCACTGAGCATGTCACGTTTTATTACCCGAAATCAACAGAAGACCACATTGGAAACACGGACTGTTACAAGTAAGCTRACAAAAAAACTTACATAAATCGTAGGGGTAGTTCCTTTGGTACTTTCACGTTGTATCTTAGCAATGGCTGCGTGGTTTGGTTGTAAGCAGTGCTTTACACGCTGTAATTAAACATATGATTTTCTTGTAATTAACGTTYGTAATGTGCCCTACTCTGTACTGACCAGAATTGAATCGGTATGCATGGGGTGTGCGTGTATGCGCRCAAGCKAAGAGAGAGTTTGTGAGRGAATCTATTACTAAAAAGAGTGAGTTTTAGTGAAGACATCGAATCAAGAGACCAAACACTAAGAGAACGTTTTGTGGAGAAATCATCTTCCGTACAGTACCACAATACCTTATATAGATATAGAGTATCTCATACCTCTAATAAAGTCCCAGGTGTATTGTATAGTTCATGGATGGCCATTACTGGTATAAAGATAACAGATGATAGAAACATCAACCAACCAAGGAACTCGGCCCAGTCTGGATATTTAACTTTGTTGTACTGCACGCCTCCCCATTGAACAATGTTGGCCATGATGATTGCCTGRTACAATAAGCAATGACAATTATTTCATTAAAATCTATAAATAAACAAATATAGATAAAACAATGAATGATTACTATAATAAACTTTGTAACGTTGTAATGAAATTCATAAATGCACTGGTGTTAGATTAAATGTTTTCTTTGATTTAAAGTGCCTATGACGCCGACATAATAATTTCTSATTCTCTGTKAACTGMTTCTWTTTWAGTAAATAATTGAATGGTGAAATATTCCTGCATTTCAGTGTTGCGTCTTTGCGTCTTTTCAATCATACAATGACGTCAAAGAAGGCTTCATTAGATATACAAACTTTGAAGGAGTCGCTTAAAAATGATTTCATGRCATTAAAWTTATCGTWKGCAATGTAGGGAATAACCATAYYWCCAGATGGCGTTCATGAAAACATTTTCGAGCGACTGTTTCAAAGTTCGTATATYTAATGAAGCCTCCCTTGACGTCATTATCATTAGCATGTTGTAAGATTAAACCTTCAAAACTCAAAGACGCAACACTGAAATGCAGGAATATTTCACCATTCAATTATTTACTTTACTTAGAATYAGTTCACAGAGAATCAGCAATTCTTGTGTCAGGCCTCATAGGCACTTTAATCATATCATAATATTTATTTCCAAGTTTTGTATCCCACAAAAGGGTGGCTTGCCACTACAGTCCCTCTGTGGACCCAGCCCTGAAATGCATTATTTTCTGCGTTACTTACGATTGTGACTATAGGCGAGAGATACTTCCAAGCAATACGAAACCACAAAAATGGTTTTCTACCGGTCATGAGTTCAACATCGCTWGAAAATCGATCAACACCTGGAAAAAGAAGGATAGAGATCGCTGAATCATAGAATCCAAGCCGAATACAACACGCACATCCTCAAGAAACACGGGAGGCTGCCATTAAACATCGCACTTGTTTGTAGGGGAGTTCTCAGCCGGTGATATACTTTGATTACAAGCTGTATTTGTCAGTGCTTTAACTCGTGTACTTAATGCCGAATAATTATTATACATAAATTACATTCTTTTTCATTTTGTCATTTTTTGTCAATTTTGTTTACTCTACCTCGAATCTTAGGGACTGCACAATATTTTTCAGGGGGGGGGGGGGCAAAATCTAATTTTATGTACTAAAATTAGCTTAGAACTTTAATTAGAAACTGAAAATCAACGGTGTCAGATTCTGTGCTTTTTGGGAAACTTAAAGCGTGCCACGATTTGCTTTTATTCACGAATAATAAATAAATKAATTCACCGGGGGGTAGGGCGTAAWTTATTTCGTTTACTCAATATCAAATTGTATAATTTCTACCACCTTACCATARACCCAGCCAATGGTGACTATTTCAAGCAGTGCTACAATCAGTAAAGATAGACCGGCCGTTTGGTAATCCATGAGATTAAACCACCACATACCACCCTGTAAAACAAACCAATGTGTCAATAATTATTATATWYA